TGAGCCACACTCTCGGCACCTCACTGGAGCATTCTAGGCAAGCGATTTATTACTGAGCTATATCCCTAATCCCCTTTCCTTTTATTTTGAAATAGCGTTTCACTAAATTTCCTAGGCAGCTCTTTTAATCACTCCTTAGCTCAAGCTACCCTTGACCTTTCATCCCCTCCTGTCTCGATCTTCTGAATAGTTGGGCTGACTGATCTGTACCACTATACTAGGCTAAATAATATTCCATTGCATGGTCATACCACTTTTTGCTTACCCATTCGTACACTGATGGGTTATTTCTAGTAGTCTTTCCAACTTCCTTGTGGAACCCAAGAGTTACAGGGTTAAGCTGTGGGGCCACACATCCACTCTACTACTCCTTATTTGTGTGATGGTGACCAGATGGCTTCACATTCACTGAACATCTGTTTTCTCAAATACAGAACGGCAGGAATGACTGTGTCTGACTCACAGGATGGGTGTGAAGGTCGAGAGAGTTGATCTATGGTGAGTGTCCCTGGTACTGGAATAACTGTTAACTCTTTTCACTGTTGAGAAAACCGAAGCTTTTGTGCAGCCAAGTCACAAATGCACTGACAGGGAGTCAGATTTCAACCCCCACACATGTCCTACATATAGACCTAGTCCCTCCTCCTCCTCCTCTTACTCCTGTTTTCCTTCTTCCTCCTCCTCCTCCTCTTCTTCATCCTTCTTCTCCTTCTTCTTTGTCCCTTCTCCTTTTCTTCTTCCCTATTCCTCCTCTTCCTCTTCCCTTCTCCTTCTTCTCCCTTTTTCTTCTTCTTTTGGAAGTCCCCTCCCCCCCCCAAAACACCTCAGAAAGCCATAATAATGGTGACAGCAGCTGAAGAAATGATGTTATCAGAAAGGAGTAAGATACATGGGGAAGTACGCACAACAGTACACCTAGTCACGAGAAAGAAATGAGGACTGATGTGTCTCTGTTCTACTTTGCTTCTCCGTTGCTGTGATAAAATGCTGACCCAAAACCCCTTGGGAAGGAAAGGGTTTATTTGGTTTACAAGCTGAAGTCCATCCGTGGAGGGAAACCAGGGCAGGAACTCAGATGGGAACCTGGAGGCAGGAGCTGAAGCAGCGACCATGGAGGAGTACTGTTTACTGGCTGGCTCTCCATGGCATGCTCAGTTTGCTTTCATATTGTGACGGTTTGAAAGAAAATGGCTCCCAAAGGGAGAGGCAATACTAGGAGGCGTGGCCTCATTGGAGGAAGTGCGTTGCAGGGGCCTGGCCTCCTCACGGGTTCAGGTCCTGAGACAGAGAAGAGGCGTCATTGCAAGAAAAACTTCTGACCACCAAGTGGACTGCATCCAAGTGTCTCCAAAAAGCTGGAGCCATCTTTATTTACACGTTAACAGAGTTTTTCTTACCAGGGTTACATGAAAGCCCCATTTGTTCCCCTTTATGCTTCTCCAAATACACTTTCCCACACCCTACATAACCTTATTCTAGACATAAAGTTCAGCACTTTCTCAGGATTAACTAAATATCAAGCCAGACACATCCTGCTCTTACAGCACTTATGTCAACTGGAAAGCTACTTGTAGTAACAAAGTTAAAAAGTAATAATCATCAGTACAATGCTTTAAGGACAACAATATTCAAACCCAAACAATTCTTTCATGTCTGCAGATTTGCTTTTATACAAGAGGGTCCCGTGTCTCCATCTCTCTATGAAAGGCAGACTTCAATAAGGCACTCTTTTCCCATCCCTCTATACCATACTTCTTTCACCAACATAAGCTCCTGTGTGCAGTAGAGATGGATCTTTCCAGCCCATATTTTACATTGCGTTTTTCCTATTGGAATAGACTAGATCTCATCATTGATTCTGTATGATTGATGTCCAGGGAACTTACTCTCAACAGTGGCACTATGTGTATTCCTGAGGCTTTTTCCCTATTCTGTGTATGCATGCCTTACTCTCCCTTCCAGAACTGTGAGACATGATTAACATCCCAAGTGTTGTTTTTTCTCAAATGTACCTGTCTCTGTTGGGTCAGAAAAGCTCCCAGGATTAGCAGCTGTAGTTAGTAATTCCAGATAAGATATTTGAGAAACCCGAGCTAGTGGGAGCTCATGGACTCTGAACTGACAGCTGGGGAACCTGTATGGGACCGAACTAGGCCCTTTGAATGTGGGTGACACTTGTGTGGCTTGGGCAGTTTGTGGAGCCCCTAGCAGTGGGACAAAGATTTATCCCTAGTGCATGAACTGGCTTTTTGGAGCCCATTCCCTATGGAGGGATATCTTGTTCAGCCTTGATGCTGGGGGAAGGGGGGCTTGGTCCTGCCTCATTTTGGTTTTTGTTTTGTTTTGTTTTGATTTTTCAAGACAGGGTTTCTCTGTGTAGTTTTCATGCCTGTCCTGGATCTTGCTGTGTAGACCAGGGTGACCTCGAACTCACAGAGATCCGCCTGGCTCTGCCTCCCAAGTGCTGGGATTAAAGGCATGCACCACCACCAGACTTTGTTGACTCCCAATGGGAGACCTTACCCTCTCTGAAGAGTGTGTGGAGGGTGGGGAGGAAGTGAAGAGGGAATTATAGTTGGTATGTAAAGTGAAAAAAAAACTTAAATTTAAGGAAAAAAAGAAAGAAAGAAATACCCAGAAGGCAAACCCAGAGTCATAAAGCAGATTAACAGGGGACAGAAGGGGTAGAGAGTTACTTCTCTGTGGCCAGAGCATTCTATGGGTCTGGGGAGATGGCTCCTACCACACAATGTGAGAACCTGAGTTCAGATCCCTAGAACCCATATAAGCTGGGCAGGGTAGCATGTGTCTACAATCCCAGGACTCCCACAGCAGGATCGGAAATGGAAACAAGAGGGTGCCTGGAGGCACATGGGTGAGCTAGCCTGGTGTACACAGCTAGCCTGGTATACACAGCTAGCCTGGTGTACACAGCTAGCCTGGTATACACAGCTAGCCTGGTGTACACAGCAGCAAACGAGGCGGAAGGCAAGGACCAACACCTGAGCTTGTCTTCTGGCCCCTGTTGTGACAGGTGCACTCTCACACTCAAATGCGTGCACATCAAGCACACACACACAATTATAATAATGTGCACGTGGAGATCAGAGGACATGTTTTAGGAGTTTGGTTCTCAGCTTCTACCTTTTTGAGGCAGGGTCCCTCTTTTTTCTGCCATACTGTGTACTCCGGTCTATCCAGTTCACAAACTTCCAAGTGATTCCTGTAACTCTGCGTCTCCTCTCACAGTAGGAATATTAGGATTTCACACGCATCCCACCACAGCATCTGGCTTTTTTTTTTTTTTTTACAAGGGTCCCGGGCATCCAACCCAGGCCTTTAGGCTTGCAAGGCAAGTGCTGTTACCCACTGAGTCATCTCTCTGGCCCTGAAAAATACTTAGGAGAGGGCAATGCTAGCAAGAAGCTGATAGAACATGCTATCTCAAAACTGCTGGCTGATACTGAGGAGCCTACTTGCAAATTTCCCCTGATAAAGGGGCTTGGGTGTTGCCATTCCTTCCTCCCCCAAATCAGCTCTGGTGTGGCTTCCTCTTTCATTCTGGGCTTCTAACCAATATCTATCTATCTATCTATCTATCTATCTATCTATCTATCTATCTATCTATCTATCTATCTATCTATTTCCTTCTTTCATTCTTTTTTGTTTCTTCTTTTTTTAATGCAAAGTCTCTCTGTGTAGTCCCGGACTGTCCTCAAACTTGACATGTAGACTAGTAGGCTGGTCTTGAACTTACAGACATCTGCCTGACCCTGCCTCTCAAAGGTTGGGATTAAGGACATGTGCTACCACGCCCAACACAATATGTCCTATAGAATTACTTCGTTGCACTCTCCAATGAGCCTGCAAGGGAAATCAACAGAAAGAGTGGATAAGAAAGACAGAATGTGCATTTTAAAATCCAGGAACTGTTAGGTTTTACTGCCTTTCTCCTAGTTGGTGTCAAATCACTCCATGCCTGCACGCCTGTCACGCTATAAATAAAATGATTTAATTTTTATCTCACCTGCTGGAGCTAACGCATCTGCAGCAAGGCCCACACATATTTCCTGCCAAGTTCCATTCAGAATCTTACTGCTGTGCTTGGAATCACCCCAGCAGCTTCTGTTGCCTAGAAATAAACTCTGAACTCCCCACCACCACACTTTAGAACACTGCCGAGCTCACCCTGTCTGTTCCCAGACCCGCGCTTTAGCAGTTCTCCAGCTCGCTCCCACCAGCCCTCACAGAAATGCCCTCAGAGTCTTCAGCCCTGTACTGGGCCTCTGCATTTGCTCTTACAACTGCCTGATGGCCACTAACTATAGCTTCTTCTCATGCTCCCTGTACCACCTTTTGTTTCTATCTCAGAGCACCTCTCCTGGAGGCTGGAGAGATGGCTCAGCAGTTAACAGCTCTTGTTCCTCTTTCAGAGGACCTGCGTTCAGTACCCAGAGGTCCTGGGTTCAGTTCCCAGGACATACATTATGTCTGTAATTTCAGTTTCAGGGGATCTGATGCTTGGATACTGCACACACATGGTGCTCATACATACATACAGGCAAAACACTCATACATATAAATCAATTTGAAAAAAAAACTTTAGGGGCTGGAGAGATGGCTCAGTGGTTAAGAGCACTGACCCAGAGGTCCTGAGTTCAATTTCCAGCAACCACATAGTGGCTCACAACCACCTGTAATGAGATCTGGTGCCCTCTTCTGGCCTGCAAGGACATGTGTAGACAGAACACTATGTATAATAGATAAATGAATCTTTTCAAAAAAAAAACTTTTTAAATACTTTCTCTGGTTATTTCAAATAAAATGTCTCCCTCGTTGTGACCCATCAGACCTCCATATCCATGTTCTATCATCTTTCTTTCCACATGTGTAGTCACATGGGGAGGCTTGTATGTTGTCCCCAACTCATCACCACCATGGCCGGATTAAAGAGTGAGGCACAATTACTTTTTAATTCTACTTCTGAAATTTATATCATGATATTTAACCTGGCAGGGAAGATACCATGATCACAAAGGTGGTCTTCCCAGGGTGAGGTTTATCCATTACACTCCGGATGTGCTGGCCCCTGCAGTCTCCCCAAATTTGGAAAACTTGACTGCATACTTTGTGGTAGTGGGGGGACTGTGTTCTCACAACCCTGAATGAAATGGCATTTAGAAGTGGTACGTTTTTGAGTGATTGGTTTTAGATGAAGTGATGAGGGTGCTGCCCCCATGATGGCATAGTGTTTTATGTGGTGGGAAAGGCACTGGAACTAGCTCTCTCTCTCTCTCTCTCTCTCTCTCTCTCTCTCTCTCTCTCTCTCTCTCCTTCCATTTCTTGCTCTCCTCGCTGTGTGAGAATATACTAGGATAGCTACATATCTGAAGTCTGAAAGACAACTTTCATAACTTTCTAGAATTTCCCCCACCAGATACATGGCAGCCCTTTGCAGCAGCCCACCGAGAGAGTCAGTCAGGAAAGTTAAATATGGAGGCCCTGTGAGACTCTTTTTTTTTTTTTTTTAATTAAAACTGCTCAGCCATTAGCTCAGGCCTACCACTGACTAGCTCTTACACTTAAACTCAGCCCATTTCCGTTAATCTATATGTTGCCATGTGTTCCATGGCTTTACTTGTGTGTCACTACATGCTGCTCTCTGGATGGCGGGATGGCGTCTCCTCACTCAGCCTTCCTCCTCCCAGAATTCTCCTGTCTACTTATCCTGCCTGTACTTCCTGCCTGGCTACTGGCCAATCAGCATTCTATTAAAGCAGTGTACAAAAGCATTATCTCCCTGTGAGACTCTTTACAAAATGGTCTATTGTCAAGGCCAGTCATGTGCAGACCCAGTGCCGGTAATGGAATCTACTGCAAGCTCACGATTACATTGGCTGTGCCATATGCAGAAGACAGTAGGTCATGGCCCTTCCCTCCCTGTCTTTTACCTCTCATGTTCTTTCTGCCTCCTCATCTGTAATGGTCCCTAAGCCCTAGAGCAATGGTTCTCAACCTATGGGTCATGACCCTTTTAGGGATTGAACGACAGTTTCACAGTGGTCACATACCAGATATTCTGCATGTTAGATGTTTACATTCCTATTCATAACAATAGCAAAATTATAGTTATGAAGTGGTAATAAAAATAATTTTATGGTTGGTCCATGACAACATTAGGACCTGTATTAAAGGATCGTAGAATTAGGAAGATTGAGAATCACGGCCCAGAGGGAAAGGTATAAAAGTCTTGCTGAAGGATGAACTCAGCTGTCACTTATTTTCAACATCTTATACAGCCACGAGTTTCTGCATTCACCACTGTTCACTGCAAAGACAAGTTTCTTTGATTAACTATGTACAGGTATAAACATATTTAGATGGTAGTTTGATGCTATGTCAACTTAGCTGAAAAATAGTACTTAGTTCCCTCTGAGAGCAAGTGAGTTCCTGACTAGGTTTATAGTAGCAAGGGTAGATTCCCTGTGAGGCATGCCTCAAATTCAATCAGAGAGTGATTGGCTATCCCAGTAAAAGTCATGCCTCTATCACACAGAAGGACTGGTCTCGCCGGGCAGGTTGGTAGTGTAGTTTGTAAATTTCACACCCTCTCTCATGAGTTATTGGCTATTGATAAATTCTGTGAGAGAGGGAGCCATTGCTTTGAGTTCTGTTTTTTTGTTTTGTTTTGTTTTTTGTTTTTTGTTTGTTTGTTTGTTTGTTTGTTTGTTTGTTTGTTTGAGACAGGGTTTCTCCGTGTAGCTTTGCTCCTTTTCCTGGAACTCACTTGGTAGTCCAGGCTGGCCTCGAACTCACAGAGATCCGCCTGCCTCTGCCTCCCGAGTGCTGGGATTAAAGGCGTGCACCACGACCACCCGGCCTTGAGTTCTGAACCTACTGGTGAGTTTACCAGGCTCCCGCAGATCCTTCTAAGCAGACGATGACAGACACCAATGGTTAAACTCTGAGTCTCCAAACAAAACCAGAAGACATGAGTGGAATAAAGAGATCTATGTGGAGGAGGGAATTTAACAAGAGCGGCAGAGAGATAAAAGAGGGTGGGTGAGATTGAAGGCTGTCATTGTAGTATATACCTGTATGGAACTGTCAAATAACAAATTTAATAAACTAAAAATAAAACAAAAAAAGGAGTAGATTTAGGAGACTATATGGAAACCATGCAGTCTAGAAACTTCTATAACTCAAAGAGGAAGGATCCCAAGGAACTCCTGAGAGAAGTGTCTCTCAAATCTCCACATCTGAGGTTGAAACATTCCAAGAGAATTAAGCCGGCTGCCACATTGCAAGGGACGCTGGTTGCAGTTCTGAAATAGTACCACTAGATGTCAGTATTCAGTGTGCCCTCTTTGTAAGGCCAAAATGGCAATCTTGGAGGCTAAAATCAAGTGAAGGGGTCACTTTTGAGTTCCTAAGGGATGATCTATGCAAGAAAATACTGCAAACCTCAAACCTTACAGGAGGTCATCTACAGTTCAGACAGTGAGGTAAACATCTCCCTTCAAAACCAGTGGATTCCTGACCAACAGGCCTTGGATATGAATCATGTATTTTCAGTTTATATGTTTGTCTATGTTTCAGTCTAAATGGTGTTTGTTTGTGCCTTGACATCTTGAGGTCTTGAAAACTCTGTAGTGGAATAACTATCTTTCTAGACATGCCAAATACTCATCTGTTACGATGCCTAATCTTAGTTGTCAACTTGACTGGACTTGGGTTCGACTAAGAGACCCATCTGTCTGAGGCAGGTTCATTTCCTGTAACAATGATAAAATGTTCTGGCAAAAGCAATTTGAGGGAGAAAGGGGTCATTTGGCTCACGCTTCCAGGTTGCAATCCACCATTGTGGGGAAGTTAAGACAGCAGGAACATGGAGCAGCCAGTCACGTTACAACCATCATCAAGAGCAAAGAGCAGTCCATTAATAAGTGAAACGCTAGTGCTCAGCTCATTTTCTCCATGTTTATACAAGCCAGGATCCTCCCTCCTCAGGAACCAGTGCCACCCATAGTGGGCAGAGCTTTGCATTTAATCAAGACAACCCCTCAATGGCATGTTCAGGGTCCAGCCTGATTCAGACAGTCCGTTATTGAGATACCTTTCATAGATGATTCTAGATTGTGTCAAATTGATAATTAAAAATATGCATCCAGGGGTTGGGGATTTAGCTCAGTGGTATAGTGCTTGCCTAGCAAACGCAAGGCCATGGGTTCGGTCCTCAGCTCCGGAAAAAAAAAAAAATGCATCCAGAGTATGTTTCCTAGAAGCATTAGAAGGGGAAGACTCTCGCCAAGAGTGGCGCATTTTGCTGCTCAGATAAAGAGACCTGAGAGAAGAGCAGAATGGCTTTTGCCTGCCTGCTTAAGTCTTTGCCCGCGAGTGTATCTACACTGTTGTTGCTGCCTCTGCGGCCAGCCATCCTGTGCTGACATCAGAGCCCAGGTTGTCCAATCTTCTAATGTGGACTGAAGGTCAGTGGCTCTCCAGAAATCCTCTAGGCCCTCAACACTAGATTAAGACAGCTGAAGCATCCAAATTTGTGGCCTGAGCAGCTACTGGGCTCTCACCCTCTCTAATGTTCAGACAGCCATTGTTGGACTACCTAGTCCATATTGTGTGAAGCATTCTAATAAAGCCCCTATATAATATCCATTCTTGAGACCCTGTCTCAAAAAAACAAAATGAAAAATAAAAAGCCATTCTGTCAATTCTGTTCCTCTAAATAAACATGGCTAACATGTCTGTGATTGTGGTTTCCCTATGCAGCTCACACAATCTAGAATCCACCCCCAAACCCATACACACCATCCACCCACACTTCCGTTGTGCCCATCATGCTCTGGGTAATTATTTTCTGTCCTCAGCACTCCAAGAAAGGTACCAGGCATTAAAGACAACCTGTTCTCAGAGCCACTGAAACTGTTAACATTAACAAATTCTAACCTTGATTTCACAAAACACGATAATGTCTCTTGCTCACCAATTCTCCTTATTGCCAGTGCCTCCTGACCAGCCCTGAGCTTCTCTGTGCATTTCTGTGTGGCACTGCATGCCTCCTTGTCTATAAAAAGCTGCTCTTTCAATGGATTTTCTCTTCTTATCTATTGGTTTCATCATATCTATATTTGAAAACATCTTGATGCCTGAGTGAAAGGAGAGATAAGGATGTGGGTCCCTCATGTTTGGGAGTGGGAAGGATGCCACTGTGAACATTGGACGAGGTGACCCTTGCAGGGCTCACAGAGGGCTCAATGCAGAATCTATGTGTGGCAAAGAGACAGCTGCCTAGAAATGAGAACAGCTAGAAGGCTGCCTGAGGGAGAGATTGGCCCCAGGGGAGTCATGGTAAGCAAGAGCATAAAGGGGCAGAGCAGGACAGCAAGAGTGAGCACATCAACCCCAAGAATTGGAAGTACCATGGAGACAGATTCAAGGAGCATCAAAATTCCTCCTAACCAGAGTCCTGACATCAACCAAGTTTTCTTTCTCACTTGGAGATGCTTTCTGCACAGGTGAGCTGCTCCTTAGTCACCTGGGATGCTCCTACAGATGATGAGACAGAGACAGATAGAGCCACAGAGACACATTTCCTTGGCCAAGCCTGAAGATGATATGCAACCTTTGCAACCTTCCAACCCTAGAGACTAGCCACATGGTCACGCCTGAAGAAGAGGGAAAGCAGGGCATCGGTGTGGCACCTGACTGGGATGCTGTTTTCCAGTGATACAGAAAACAAGGAGGGGCTGAGCATGTAACTCAGCTGGTAGAGCGCTCACCTAGCATGCACGAAGCCCTGGGTTTGAGCCCCAGCACCACATAAAACTGGGTGTGGTAGTGTACACCTGTAATCCTAGAATTCAGGAGGTGGACACAAGAGGTTTAGAAGTGCAAGGTCACTCCTTGCTGTATAGCAAGTTTGAGGGAGGCCAGACTGGACTACTTGAAACTGTGTCTCGAAACAGAAGAAAAAGAAGGAAGGAAGGAGTCTTGCTACCCAAAACAGACCATATGCATGTCATGGCAGATTCTGCAGGACTCCAACTACCCCACAGAATGCTTGTGGTGATGTTTTATTTGTGCTCTAGCAAATAAAGCTTGCCTAGAGAACAGAGAACAAAGCCAGTCACTATATTAAACACAGAGATCAG